TTAATACACTAAACTTTTATAATCTACGTTACTTCGTAATAAACTAGTAAGATCAGTATGACTAAACTTGAAATAACATGATATGTATTTTTGAAATCGATGAGAATTTGTATATAATATAATACCTAATGCCTAAATATGATGTGATGAATTCTCGGCTTGATATAAAACTTGTTAACTAGCAAAAGGTTAGCAAGTACTATGAAACTTCAAACCAAAATCGTTTAACTGCCCGAATCCAAACGACTCGATTAAAAACCGACTTTTTAAAATAAAAAACCGTTCCGAACCATAATTTAGTAAACGTAAAATGGAACTGATCCGAATAACGTTAAATCGTATGAAAGGCAAACCCGTTAACAAACCGAACCAAAATAAAACTGAACCGAAAAAGAACCGAACCGTTTCTAACTCGAAACCGTTTCCAACCCGAAACTGTTTAAACCGGTATAAAAACCGTTTACACCGAACCGTTAACAAACTGCAACCCAGCTGCACCGAATCGTTTACTTCCCGAACCGTTTACAACCCGAACCAAATTAAAACCGCTCAAGAATAAACCAAAACCGAATCGAACCGATAACTATTTAAACCGAATTGAAACCGACCCGCGAGACACTTAAACCGATTTCAAACCGACCCGATTTAATACCGAACCAATTTCAAATCGAACCGAACCTAAACTGTCAAACCGTTTTGACAGTGCTATATATGATAATTACATCTATTTTAATCTAAAGTTCCTAAGGACTATTACTGCATAATAATAATAATAATAATAATAATAATAATAATAATAATAATAATAATAATAATAATAATAATAATATATTTAGAGAAGGAGGTTGTTGCGTTGCTGAAGCGGATTATTCAAAGGTTCTCGACGACGCAAGATATTGGGGCTCGTGTTGCATCTCATATATTCTACTAGGGTAGGCTTTGCTATACCTAGAGGAGTAGGGGCCCATATTGTATCTCGACTTCCCACTAATTTATTGTAGGTTGTGTGACTTTTGTTTTTGAGATATAATAATAATAATAATAATAATAATAATAATAATAATAATAATAATAATAATAATAATAAGGAAAAATTAGAAATAATAATCCCAACTTTCATCAATTTTGCTAAAATAATCCCAACTTTAGATTATTCTGGAATAATCCGAACTTTGGGGGGTTTTCTTTTTCTTCAATCCCAAATACTAGTTACCGGTTGAATGGGTTAAATTTTTTTTTTGGTTTAAAGTGACACGTGTCACAATTTAATTAGTTAAAAATATTATAAAAAAAAACAGCCAGCCAAAGCCATAACCACCCAGCAATTCCGGCAATCCGCCCAGCCAAACACCTCCCTCGTCGGACCTCTGGCCCTCCCCCACCACTAAAGTCGTCGATCCGTCCACTACCCTCTAAACAACCATCCCTCCTCCCTGAAACCCAACCCCGACCACCAATTAATCAATTATAACCACTTCCAATTTCGGCCACCAACCAAACCCCAAAAACCACCGGCATAAACCCAAATTCCGGCTGCTGCTATATCCCCCTCCCCATGCGCCGCTTATTCCTCTCCCCCTATGTCGTCTCTCCCCTCCCCCCGCGGCGGTGTTGCGATTCATTCTGTGTTGGTCGAATTTGGTTGCAATTTAGGGTTTTTTGGCGTGGGAGATGTATTACTTTGGTGGTTGCGTGAGGTGGTTTGTTGTGTGGAATGGAGGTGACGTGGCGGTCCGGCGAACTGGGCAGTGGTGGTGTAGGTAAGGGTGGGCTGGTGGTGTAAGGGCAGTGGTGGTGGAAGGAAAGTGGTGGTAGAGGTTAGGTTGGCAGTGGTTTTTCTGATTTTTTTTGTTTCGGTTTTTTTTTTTTATAATTTAAAAATATTTGGGCCACTCAGGACTTGACACGTGTCAAGTGACCTGATATGATAAGTCATTGAATTCCGTTGACCGGTTTAGGATTGAAGAAAAAGAGGAACCCCTAAAGTTCGGATTATTCTGGAATAATCCAAAGTTGGGATTATTGGAACAAAATCAATAAAAGTTGGGATTATTTTTTCTAATTTTTCCTAATAATAATAATAAAACTATTGCAATGTTAATTATGTAACTTCTTAAGCACTAGGAGGGGATGCAGCACCACTAGAGCATGCTTGACTGTAAATGCTCTTGACTGAAGGGATCGGGTTGATTTCGAGTATAGAACAACATTCATCACTCAAGGAACCTTGTTGATGATTGATGAGATAGTTTCCTACTTCTTTCTTGCAATCAATGTCGGCAGGCAACAGAGGCAATGGCGGGAACAATGGTGGAAAATCGGCCAATGGTGGCAATGATCTCCATCCGGGGAACATGTGGCGGTAGTGAGTTGGCTTAAGGTGAGGATTTGGGTGAGGGTGCGGATGTGGGTGCAAGCGTGGGTGAGGGTGTAGGCGCGGGTGTACAAACACCTCCGGCTGCATATCTTTTTTTTTTAGGGGTAAGGGGTGGGCCCCACCTTAATTTCCTATCATAGGAATATCAAGGGGGTATTACCCACAGGGAAGGGGGGCCTCGAACCCGGGTCACTACCACGGGAACTGAAGCTTAGCTCCACTGAGCTATAGGCTTCTTGCTCTCCGGCTGCATATCTTGGGCATAGGTTCCTCCTATGAGAAGAGCTTGTAAACCAATGAATATAATTGAAATTTTTTTCTATGGAGGCGGATGCACGATGCTCCGTGCATCCATTTTCTCTTTAAAAATGCGGAATGAACATTCCGTTGTTCAGTAAAGAACACACATTTGTTTTGTTTTTTTTATTTTGTAAAAAAATCATCCAACTTCATGTTCTTTATATATATCTAAAGAACATCCGCAATATTAATTAAAAACATGATAATTAGAGGTGATCAATTTCAGCCCGACCAGACCCAGCCCAGCCCGATCCAGCCCGAAAATAGGGCGGGTTTAGACAAGCCTAAAAATGCATTTTTAGTTAAAAAATCCAAACTGGACCCGAAAAAAAGCCGAAATTCCAAATTAGAGTTGTATTGTAATGAACATATAGTTGTTTTATAAAGAACATATACCTATTTTGTAAAAAAAAACATCCAACTTCACGTTCTTTATATATATCTAAAGAACATATGTAATATTAATTAAAAACATAATAATTAGAGGTGATCAACTTCAGCCCGACCCGACTCGATCCAGCCCGAAAATAAGGCGGGTTTAGACAAGCCTAAAAATGCATTTTTAGTTAAAAAAAAATCCAAACTCGGCCCGAAAAAAAAGCCGAAAATCCAAATTAGAGTTGTATTGTAATGAACATATAGTTGTTTTATAAAAAACATATACCTATTTTGTAAAAAAAAAGTCCAACTTCACGTTTTTTATATATATCTAAAGAACATCCGTAATATTAATTAAAAACATGATAATTAGAGGTGATCAATTTCGGCCCGACCCGATCCAACCCGAAAATAGGGCGGGTTTAGACAAGCCTAAAAATGCATTTTTAGTTAAAAAATCCAAACTCGGCCCGAAAAAAAGCCGAAAAGCCCACTACATTTTCCGAGTTTTTTGGACACGAGATATTATGTTATGGCCCAGCCCGACCCGAATTTTTTATCACCTTTAATGATAATATAATGTAATGAACATTATTTTTATTCAACCACCATAATCTAAATATAAAATTCAAAGAAGATTTCAAAATAAACAATTAACATATGTCACAAATAAAAGTACCTTATTCTGACAATCAAAGAACATGAAGATAAAAAACATTATTTAACTACATGTTATGTTCTTTACAATTTTATAACATGTTCTTTGCACTTTAACAGAATGTTCTTTACATTTCTATACAATGTTTTTTACAATTCTATAATATATGTTCTTTTCACTTAAACTAAATGTTCTTTATATTTTTATGCAATGTTCTTTCCATTTTTTTTTGGAAGAGATGCACCATGTGGATCGTGCATCCATGCACAAACCATGCATTGTTTTGAATTCATTGTTTTTGTATGGTTTATTGTTTTGGTTTTGTTTTCTCAATAAAGAGTATGATGTATGAAGGTTGACTTGTGTAGTTTTGAAGGTATAAGGCCAATAAGGGGGTTTATATAGGTTTTTGAGGAGTGATGACATAAATTATGACTCTCTTAGGAATTAATATTATTAGGCAATAATAGTACGAGATAAATTTTTAAGAGCTGGTATTTGATAAAAACTCTAACTCTCACATTATTATACATACAAGCGTTTAGTTATAAGTTTTAATATAACTATACGATGGTAACTCGAATTTCTATCCCTTAAAATATTCTTAGTGTTACTCTTAATTAAGATATTAGTTTTAGAGATATAATAGTATAAATACACTAGATTTTTTTTTTTTTTTATCATAAAATATTTCAATGATCTTTTAAAAACAAAACGACCTTTTGATTATTGTGGAATAAAACGACATTTAACATTAATCTTTATAAAAAAATAACACAAAGAATAGAAGTTATCCATTTAAAAAACAAAAAATTGATCAATACTATGTACTTATCAAAGTTATATCTTATTCGACTAAAAACACTATGTGTATTATAAAGTTCAATACTACATATTATTGGTAGACCTGTTCAACAGGCCGGATTCAGGACGAGGTTTTAATTAAATGGTATACATTAATACATACTACTCCGTACTTGGTAATAGATAGACAGAATATATACGAAGCACAAGAATGTACACATGTTTGCTCCAATACCCCAGCCTCAATCTCTACCAGACTACCACATGTCCAATCAAAACCTATGGAGCACCACATCTTTTCCAAAAATAGTACATTTTTGCTTACTAACAAAACTTACTTTCTAAACCTCTGGAATCTTCTACGTACAAATAGCAACCTCTTTTAACTACACAACTCTAACATTCAATTCAGCCTAACCGTCAAAACAACCTTAACCTCATAAAACTCCTAACTACTTTTCTCTGAAAAATTCTTACACAAAAATGGGTGATCACCTTGAAACACTTTCTTCCAATTCCACTTGTTATTATGGAATTCTAGGCCTTTGTAAACAAGCCTCCAATAATGAAATTCGTCGCGCTTATCGCTCTCTTGCATTGGTATATCTTAATGCAACTAGCTTAATTATATGCTAACATTTGATTAAATTATAGCCTATGTTTTTTCAATTCTGTTACATTATTGCATACTTGACTATTACGTTGAGTTGTTTGAATGAATGTACGTAATTTGAGTAATGGTGTGTTGGGTTACAGAAATGGCATCCAGATAGATGGATAAAAGACCCGAAATTAGCAGGGGAAGCTAAGAGAAGGTTTCAACAAATTCAAGAGGCTTATTCTGGTTAGTTTCACACTTTGTTAGAACTACGTACATTTCTTCTAAGGAGTTAATTGTCGCGATTTTCCTAATCCCTTATAGTAAAATTATGGTTATAACACGAGTTTACTTACAAAAGTATTTTGGAAATCCAATCACAAATCATTAACATAGTAATTTAAGAAGCGACTGATATGAATTTATTTTTTCGAACATATGAATAATATGACTAGTAATTTTGGACTGAGGGAATACTTGGGAGTATTTGAATAGATAGCAAAATTTTAATGTTACATTATCATTGACATGATTTATTTTATTGTTTTTACATTGGGGGCAGTTTTGTCAGATAAGGGTAAAAGATCAGTGTATGATGCAGGATTATATGATCTCCTTTTAGATGATGATGATGAGGTGAGTCCAAATTAGGTCCAATATTACTATCTTAATCCCTATTCTCTAATTAACTGGTCGAATTTGATTGGAGGTCATTCACACATAATTAATATATTAAGCTATAAACCCACCTTTTTTTTTACTTGGTTATTTGTTTAGTTAGGCCCTGTTCTATTCACCTTAAAAAAATAATATTAAGTAAAAATAATTTCAATTTAGTAAAAATAAGTTCAGTTTAGTAAAATTAATTCCAATTCAGTAAAAATAAGTCCAGTTCAGTAAAATTCAGTTTTCTTAAAGAAGAATTATAATAGAAAATCAGTAAAAATAATTTCTGTTCAGCAAAAATAATTTCAGTTCAGTAACATTAATTTAAGTTTAGTAAAAATAATAAGTTCAGGAAAAATAATTTCATTTCAGTAAAAATAATTTCAGTTTAGCAAAATTAAGGTGAAGGGGAAGAGAACAAAGCCTTATTCATATTACTATATTAGGTGCACTACAACTCTACAAGAAAATGCTCTTTTATCCTGTTATTAAAAGTTGTTGATCATTTGCAGAACTTTGAAGATTTTATGCAAGAGATGGCTGCCACCATTAAGAGAACTAGATGCCAACAGGTTTATACCTTCATTTGTTGTTTTGGCATGTATATTGGAATACAAACCCATGTTTGAACTTTTTAAATTTTGCTTGAATTTGGTTTGATATACTACCTCCGTTGCATATTATGTGTAACGATTAGACATTTTTCCTCTCTACTTTATGTCAAATCGTTGCAAATAATATGTAACAGAGGTAGTATAAATAATTCAAGTTCGAGTTCAGAGCTCGCACAATAAAATGTGTTCCAACTACTATGGTCAAGCTAAATAGTAAATTCTAAATTGGTACTAAAAACTAGCTTACAAACTTGATTTTTTTGTAACCTAATATTTAGTACCAATTTATGAAATATTTCAATGCTTATATTCACCTTAGGTTGTATATTATTAAAAGCCACAATATTTGGATTTGCTGATTAAAATTAACACTGAATTAATGGCGTTGAAATGTTGCATGAGCAGGAGGGGAACAATTTGGAAGAGCTACAAAAGATGTTAATTGAGATGATTGGCTGTGATTATACGTCTAATTCCTCCATGAAAAAGACTCGTACTAGCTAATACCTGATACCTAAGCTGCTTATTAGGCCTATCTTTTGACGTAGATAAATAATTTATGTTTGACAGGCCCAACTAAGGCCTAGCCCACATGAACATGTAAACCCCCAGCCCAATGTTTTTTTGTTTATTTATTTTTTATTTTTATTTATATTTTACAGATATTTTTTGTTACAAGTCATTTGGTCTTTGTGTTTCAAACAAAAAAAAAAGTCATTTGGTCTTTGTGGTTACAAACTTACAACTCATCTTGCGAATTTGATCATATACACGCGAAATAAGATTTCCATCACAAACGTAATTAGTAATAAACAGAGTAATAATGGTTTGTTCTGATTGACTGAACTTAACTTAACCTAATTTATTAGAGTTGAGTTGAACTTAACTGAACATTTTATGAGCGAAGGAAATTAAGAATTGAACTGAATTTATTGGAGCTGAACTGAAAATAAGCCAAAGAGAATAGGTCATTCAATTTTTTTTATTTATTTTTTTTTTATTTATTTTTTTTTGCAACTCATGCACCTTACAACAATACAACCTAAGTACAATCGATGATATAATATGACAAAAGTTTAAAACAGTCTTTTGTAAGCTATGCTCATTTGTGATAAATGTGTAAAACTAACTTGTATAAATCTTAATATCACAAATTTAGATTAAGTTTGATGTGTTTTTATACTAAGATAAGTAGTTTAAAGTATAATTTAGAGCTTGATTTAAGGTTTTTGAGCCGTGCTTAGTTGTGATCAGCTCATGAAATTATCAAGTTGAGCTTGAGTTAATCATGAAGCAATTAGGACAACAATTAATACTCGTAGTTCCCTACAACTGGCTTTCGGGGCGGTAATTAATGTTGATAAAATTAATATATGCAAAGGAGAAGAATTACTCGATTGAAGATCTTTAAATTAATAGTTGTATCGTGGAAGATAAGCAAAATATGCCAGCATCAATACATGTATTCTTGTGACGAATGCCCCCAAGGTTAACACAATTTATATTAACCTGTGAACCCGAACTCAAACTATGGAATTGTTACAAGAACAATTTAAATCTCTATATAACAATCTCTCGAGTATGTGTATGTCCATTACTTTATAAGGAGTATATAATTTATGTTAATAATTTCATTTTTTATCCTTAGAGTTTGATCTATATTATTTGATTTTCATTTATTTGAGCTTAATATGAACTCATTATTAAAACTTCATTTAGTTAAAATTTTATCATGATTTAATTTGCTTTTATTAATTTTTTGTAGAACATAATTTTCATGAATTTTGTTTAATTTAACTTATTTAAATTATATTTTCTTGGAATAAGTGAAATTATCATATCATATCATATCATATATATAACTAATATATAAAGCTAAACTTTTAGCCAGGTCACGAGATAGCGACACTTGGCGTTCCTACTTTTCGCCAAGTGTCGTGCCACGTTAGATAGATGTAAATAGACTTCATAAGATAGAATTTTAAGATAAAATTATTGTTGGTTTAGTTTTATTTTCGATAAAATACCAATATTTCTGACGTGCAAATTGAATTATAATTTTATTCAAAAAAATTATTATATTATAATTATCAAAAATTATCATATAAATTTATTTTTTTATATCATAATATTTTTTTTGGAACGAATGAAATAGTTCAAAGCGTAAATCATCCATTTATAATATGTACTAACCGGTTAAAATAACATATGTGCTTCACAATCTAATAGAATTTTATTACTATATAGACCTGTTAGGTCTGATCATAAGTTAACTCGAACTAAAATTTTATCTTAAAATTCAATAAATAATCCGGGCATCGCCGGGGTACAAAACTAGTAACTAATATATAAAGCTAAACTTTTAACCAGGTCACGAAATAGCGACACTTGGTATTCTAACTTTTCGCCAAGTGTCGCGCCACCTTGGATAGATTTAAATAGACTTCATAAGATAAAAAATAAAATAAAAATTAAAAAAAAAAAGTTAGTTAAAAATTCCATTTTCAATCAAATTAGGATAGAACTTTAGAATAAGATGGTTAGTTTAGAGTTTTATTTTTGATAAAATACCAAATAATAAATTTATAATTTTCCAAATTTTCGTCAAGTGTCGCGCCACCTTGTATAGATTTAAATAGACTTCATAAGATAAAAAAAAAGTTAGTTAAAAATTCCATTTTCAATCAAATTAGGATATAATTTTAGAATAAGATGGTTAGTTTAGAGTTTTATTTTCGATAAAATACCAAATAATAAATTTATAATTAGGCCACAAGACAACATCATATAGCGTTTTAACTTTCCACGCACCAAGTGTCGTACCACGTTGGATAAATATAGATAGACTTTGTAGCAAAAAAAAGTTAATTTAGAATTCTATTTTCAATCCAATTAAATTATAATTCATTTTATCTTAAAAATCCATAAACAACCCGGGCATCACACGGGCACAAAACTAGTTATGATAAATTTTGATATAAGGCCAAAATATTTCATTTTTACAATAAAAAAAAATATGCTAAGGATAGAATACATTGCAACATGACGTAATAGGAGAGAGTTAAAAGAGTGCCAAACTCCAATATGTTGCAAATAAAGTGAAGTGGAGGAAGAAGATAATATAAATTGGAATCATTATTAAGTGGTAAGTTTGCTAGACAAGTTTTCCTTAATAATAATAATAATAATAATAATAATAATAATAATAATAATAATAATAATAATAATAATAATAATAATAATAATAATAAAATAAAAAGTTTGTTGGACAAGTAGGGGAAATAAAAAAGTGTTCTTTGATTTTATAATTAACTTTTTGTTTTGAAAGAGTTAATTATAAAATTAGTTAATTATGAATTGAATTAAATAAAGTCTTTATATACGAAATAGGTTTCATATTAATTGTTTTTCAATGTACACACTAGTTTTTTGGATGTGTTAATATTAGTTTTCATTTTCATACTAACAACAAACTATTTTTTTTTCCAATAAAGTCTTTATACACGAAATAGGTTTCATATTAATTGTACACACAAGTTAATTATAAATTGAATTAAATAAAGTCTTTATATATGTACGAAATAGGTTTTATATTATTTTTTGAGGGAAACGCCTGCAGGTTTTATATTATTGGTTAATGCATTAATACTAACAACAAACATGTACAGAATAATAATTTTTATTTTTTGGAAAGAATACAGAATAATAAATAAACTAATTTTCATTTTCATATGTTTAAAAACTTGAAATAAGGATTTCATAAGACTTGAACTCTTAACAAGTTGAAATATGTTATCCCTTTAAAATTAAAAATCTTCGTATAAAAATTGATTTTCTTTCTTAATTTTTTTTAAACAATTAAAATGTAATAGAGTTTTTTTTCAAAAAAATATAGTAGATTTTGTTCAATTTTTTGTATATATTTTTTTTAATGATGGGGGTGAGAGAAAGGATTTGATTATATAATAAACGTCACAAGTATTATTCCTGGATTCTTGGCGATAATCCCTGGTCCCAAAAGTACATGTACACCTACAACTAGGTTAAAATCTCGTGCAATGCATAGTAGTTAAATATTTTTTACAATAATAATATTACAAAATATAAAGTATATAAAAGACTTTCAGAAATACTGCATTTGGGTATATATGAAAAGTAATTGTCAAACTGGAAAGAAAATACATAATCTATAAATAATTTACATAAAGATTTTGCAAAAAAAAAAATAAAAAAAAAATAAAAAAGCGAAAAGGGGACGAAAAATTTTCACAAGATAATGACAAGTGTCATGGAAGGATTTTCTTTACGTATAAGTTTTTTTTTTTTTTTTTTTTTTTTGAAACCAAGTTAATACCCAATTTGGTCCGTTCACATTTACTTAATTTCTGTTCAGTTCAGCTCCAATCAATTCAGTTCAGTTCAGCTCCAATCAGTTCAGTTCAGCTCCAATCAGTTCAGTTCAGTTCAGCTCCAATTCAATAAGTTCAATTCAGCTCCTAATTTCCCTCTCTCATAAAATATTCAATTCAGCTCAATTCAGTTCAGTTTAGCTCCAATCAGTTCAGTTCAATTCAGCTCGGTTCAATAAATGTGAACATGCCCTTAGTATAGGTTTAATAGATAGATAGATAGATAGATAGATAGATTAGATAGATAGATAGATAGATAGATAGATAGATAGATAGAGATAGATAGATAGATAGATAGATAGATAGATAGATAGATAGATAGATAGATAGATAGATAGATTATTCAACAACTAGGTTAGAACCCGTGCGATGCACGATTTATATAAAACCTATTTTTAATTTGTATATTTTAAAAATAATCTCTATTATACATGAATATAAATAAGAATTACGCATATTTTGTAATTTTAAATTTTTATATTTTCATCAAAATTATAATATAGTATATGTGTTCAACGTTGTCTAATATAATTCATATTTCAATGTAGGAGGTCATTTATTAGTGTACTATTTTAGGTTTTAATTGTAATATAGAAGCTTCCAATATTTAAATTGTAAAAATGTTAAATATGATAAAATACAAATTAAAAAAATGACATCATCATTACATTTACGCGGGAAAATTTTTATTGAGAAAGCGACACGTGGGCAATTGGTGATGTCAGCAACTTATGTTTTAGTAATAGTTAATAGACACGAAGTATAATTAAAGGAAATTTAGTGGCAAGTTAGTCAGACAATTTGGGGAAAGTATTTTCATTTTTTAATAATTTAATATCATTATCCTTATGGTCTTTTAATTTGACAATTAGCAATGGATAGATCTAACAGTGTGAAAAATATACATATAACATTATGTTTGTAGAAATGATTTAGGCCCTGTTCTTTTCAGCTTAAAAAAATAATATTGAGTAAAAATAATTTCAGTTCAGTAAAAATAAGTTCAGTTCAGTAAAATTAATTTCAGTTTAGTAAAAATAAGTTCAGTTCAGCAAAATTCAGTTTTAGGCCCTGTTCATAATTTCAGTTCAGTTAAAATAAGTTCAGTTCAGTAAAATTAATTTCAGTTCAGTAAATAATCAGATCAGTAAAAATAAGTTCAGTTCAGTAAAATTCAGTTTTTTTTAAAGAAGAATTATAATAGAAAATCAGTAAAAATAATTTCAATTAAGCAAAAATAATTTCAATTCAGTAAAAATAATTTAAGTTCAGTAAAAATAATTTAATTTCAGCAAAAATAATTTCATTTCAGTAAAAATAACTTCAGTTCAGCAAAATTAAGGTGAAGTGAACAGGGCCTTATTAAAGAATAATTATAATAGAAAATCAGTAAAAAATTTCACTTCAGCAAAAATAATTTAAGTTCAGTAAAATTAATTTAAGTTCAGTAAAAATAATTTCAGTTCGGCAAAATTAAGGTGAAGAGAACGGGGCCTTAGTATACACACTGGAATACATCAATTAATAGTTTTACTATAATACTACTACCGTGAACTCCTATGTTTAACTATTGGGTATATATAATTTGTGAGATATAAAAAATTTTAAAAGTTCCACATAATATTTAATGAAATAACTATTCATAAATATGGTCATTTTGTGGAAGATTAACTAACTAATTTCTTTCTAATCAATTTTAAGTACCAAAAGAAGAAAGCACTGTGTTATTTTTGCAAGTAGCTATTCTTTAAATAAGATCAATTATCCAAGTTGAAACTTTTTTATTTTTTGAATAAATCCAAGTTGAAAAAAGTCTATATAATATCCATTTAGTGGAATTCTTTTGACACATTCACTCTTAATCGTCCTAGTTTCCTATTTTGAGTCGTATTCTTTTGACCAATAATTCTCACTGCTTCACCTACTCTGCTTCACCTAACGCTGCATTAGCTTACCATCTTTTTTATGCCTTTAATGCAATGTTATCTTCTAACACAAAGTCTTAGGGAGATTTTTAAGACGTGCGAACTCTGTTCTTTTTAAAATGTAATGCTTGGAGTTCATATTTCGTATATGTCAATGTACAACTTATATCTTATAAGTTATAAGTGTAATTACTTTTTTATTCAATGATAAGAATTGACATTCTAGAAGTATATATATTGTTATATTTCTTAAACATTTATTTATATTTCATTACGTATAAAACTATAAATCACAAATTACCATCAAACATACATGTGTGCTATAAGTATAATTAAAATTACAACTGTTGCAATTATAAAACAATAGATGGAAAAAGTATTCAGCAAAACGGTGAACAATTATAACTAAATTGGCAATTAAACGGTTATATGAACACTTTACTATTTGTAGTCCTATTTAAGAAATAATATGAGAGTAGGGATAGCTCAAGTGGTTAGAGCTTCCCTCTCGATTCTAGGAAATCCTGAGACCCTTATATATCGAATTGGATAATTCATGTCAATCAACTCCAATTTTTATTTCAAGTGAATATTGTAACATAAAATTAAGTTATGTACATGTACTAAAAGTAATAGATTATAATTATATTCATACTTAAAATCGTACAATCGAGAGCAAATCAATTGTACCACTTTTATATATCTAATCATGATCAATTTACTAAGATAAAATATCAAAAAGCTACTAATCTTACATATGAAATCAATTAAATGATCGACAGTTATTCAGCAAGGGCTGCTCCACCAAGAACTACCCAATAACGACACTAAAATAATTAAAGAAGCATCTTCTTTGTCATTACCAAGTTTTCTTTCTCTTATTTTATAGTACGTTACTCTATCATTATAAATACCATATCATATTCTCATTCTTTGCATATCCAATTCACTTGATCACCTTCAATTCCTACTAAAAAATATATCATTTCTTAGCTTTATTGCTCCTTAGTAATCACAATAATCATGGGTGTTTTCACATACACATTGGCTGACATCACTAGCCCTGTCGCCGCGTCCCGGTTGTTCCAAGCTCTAGCCCTTGACAACCATAACTTTGTTCCTAAGACTTTCCCTCAGTTTGCTAAATCTGTTGAGTTTATTGAAGGTGACTCTACCACTGTTGGAAGCATCAAGAAGATCAACTTCCCTGATGGTTAGTTTATTTAATAGCTTAACGTTTTTCCAATTCAATTATCTTATGTGCGTTTCACCAAGTAATACATGTAACAAGTCACTTATTAAAAGTAAACTTGTTACATTGAAAAACGGATAAATTATATTCGAATCATTAACCAAAACTTAAAAGCAGTGGCGGATCTTGGGCAAAAAAAATTTATAAAATATATTCGAATCATTAACTAAAACTTATAACTGTTGTAAGCTCTAATCATGATCGATAAATACAAATCATGCATGCGTTTCACCATGGCCTTTTTAGGCCATGGTATAACGCATGATTAAGTGCACAAATGACCGTGTGGCCAACAAGACCACCTTTCTTTAGCTTTCTTAAGCTATATATAGAAGCATGGCCGTATACAACTTCCAAACTTTTTTTTTTTTTTTTTTGGGTTTTATTTTACACGGTTTGACTTTTGTGTTTATAAATGTACAACTTTGATCATTAATATTATATATATTTGTTGATTATTTTGCAGAGGCTCCATTCAAATATGTGAAAAACAGAGTTGATGAGATTGATGCCAACAACTTCTACCTTAAGTACACTTGCATTGAAGGAGATGTGTTTCCTGATACAGTGGAGTACGCTGTGTATGAAGACAAGTACGAGGTGACCGAAGCCGGAACCCGGTGCAAGATGGTAGCACACTATCACATGAAGGGAGACAGTGTGATGAAGGAAGAGGATCTTGAAAAGGCCAAAGAAGGAATTCAGAAGGTGTTTAAGGCTGTTGAAGAGCACCTCATTGCCAACCCTCAAGTCTATGCTTGATTGAACTATTTAGTTGATCATCCAAAGCTTTATGAGAAAATTTGACTTAAAACTTGGGATGATATAATTGAGGATATGTAATGTGTGGTGTGGTGTGTTTATTTATATATTTTTTTTCCTTCGTTTATTTTGATGAGTTTGGGAAAAAAAATTAATAATAATAATGTGTGACAGTGTGAAACATGTATGTACTTGCTAAGAAATGCACTATGAATTTGTAAGAGATTTTACATTTTTAATATATGAGTAACAATTTTCTATGATTAAGTTGTTTGTTTCAACTTCTTACTAGTACCGGAGTACTAGTACGGATTATTATTTTTCAATACTATGCATAAGTTTAGATGAGATAATATAATTTCTGATACACGTACATTAAACAACGTTACGACAAAAATTAGCTCAAATTATACAATAGTTATGATAATTTTGCATGCTGATATAACGTCAAAAGAATATACGGTAAGTTGAAAGAGTCAAATTAAAGTCTGTACAAGTTAAGAAGTTAAATGTTTCAAAAAAAAAAGTCAAGAAGTTAAAGTGTTCTAAATTCCACATCCCTTTAATTTAATAGCAAGGCAACAATCAATTCGTGTTTTTTAATAGCAAGACCACAATCTATCTATCTATATATATACTAAAACATAGGGCACTCGAAGCTCCACTCTAACTACACTTTGACACGTGTCGAGCTATTGTTAAAAATTTTCCCGCTTCATTTTTCACTCCTAAATATAGCAACTAAATAAAAGATTATATGTTATAAAATAATATAAATATTTTATACTCACTTACCTATAAATATTATATACCTACTTCCTTATGCATGTAAAATCAGGATATAATCTCTGATTATACTTCCTTATAATATTGTACATCTAAATGTTTTTATTATCTTGATCTTAATATTTGATCTTAAGATTTTTTTTTTTACCAGCAATATTTGATGTTAAGATTCATGATCTTAAGCCGTGAAAATTCTTAATTGCACTATGAGCATGTATTTTTTAACAATCCGTTGTGGGTTTGCACTTCATCATTATTGATGATGTAGTTTTTAAAAAAGATACAGTATAAGAATTTTTAAAACAATGCAATTTATTTTTCTAAAACTGTGAAAATTTTATTAGATATATTAAAATAATGAGATAATTGATCTTATATAATTTTTGACCACATTGTGGCCTGGGATAGCGAGAAAGTGTTATAATGTTGATTAAACCTAAAGTACACATTTTAAGGTAATCATAAACTTTCATATGTTAGGTGCTACAAAATCAGTTCAGACACATTTTAAAAAAAATTGGTCAGGGTTACTCGCTTAGTCAGGGGTTACTCGGTCAGTCAGAGGTTACTTGGTTTGGGTTACTCGATCAATCAGAGGTTACTCGGTATATTAGGGGTTAATCATCGGTTAGTCATGGATTCCGGTTGGTCAGGGTTTACTTGGTTAGGGGTTAATTGGTCGTGGTCATGGGTTAATTGTGTCATTGTGTGTCAGTTAGTCACTTACAAAAGTTGCTGAAAGGTAATATATACGGAATTACGGAGTAATATATATAAATGAGCATGAGTCATCTGTATTTAAAAGGTAAAATATGTAAAGGCCATAAACCTTTTTATATCTTTAAATTTAAATTTTTTTTATGTAACATTTAATTAAAATTCTGATACACAATACCATGATAAAATGGGTACATATATATCAATGTGAATTTGCACAGGTACTAACATGAGAAAAACCATAACTAACATTAAGCTAATTTTAGTTTAATTTCAAATTTCGACATATATAAAATATAAACTTTTTAAACCGTGCAATTTGCACGGATACTATACTAGTTTAACCTGTTTAGCAGGTTACTAACTTGCTCAAACTAATTTGAGCAACTATCCCCTATACTTTGGTTTATTCTTATTTAAACACTAGTTTGGATTAAAATGAGAAGATGGTCAATAATTCGGATTATTTTTGTTAATTTTTCCATTATAAAATATAAATTTATATTATATACCAATAAACAACCCGTGCATTACACAGGCCAAAAAGCTAATTAGATATTACATTCATTCTTAGAGCCTGTTCTCTTACGTTGAAATTGAGTTCAGTTCAGTTCAGCTCAGTTCAGCTACTAATTTCCTTCTCTTATAAAATATTCAGTTCAGTTCAGTTCAGTTCAGTCAATGAGAATAGGCCCTTAGTCTCTTACCAGTTGTCGAAACACTAACCACTTCATTATTCATATTCATTAACAATTAATAGCATATTAAATTATTAATCATTTGTTAGTACACACACAGTAGCTTAATAGTTTCCAATAAACTACGAGTAGAAACTAAGTTTGAATCGTGTTGCTTATATTGGTTTAGTTTGAAATCGGGAATTCTTATTGTAGTAATGTTTCGATAATAGAGCTGGACATTTTTTTAGTTTTGAATTTCAAATATTATTTAGGCTCTGTTCTCTTCAGCCCAAGTTCAGTTCAGTTCAGTTCAATTAAGCGCAGCTTAGTTCCTAATATCTTCCTCAATTAGTCTAAGGTGCACCCTTGTGCACCTTAGATAGGTGCAACAACGTAAAAAAAAATTAAATAAATAAATTAAAAAAAATCAACACTATGCTCTACAAAATGAACATTTAGTAAAAAAAATATGAACATGAAAAAATGAACATTTAATAATAAAATATGAACACGTAAAAAAAAAGGAAATTTGTCAGAAACCACCCATTTAAAAACACTTTTTTTTCAAAAACCACCCGAAAAAAAATTGTTGTTTGGAACCACCCAATTTTTAAAATAAGTAGTCAAAAGCCACAAGAGTCTATTTTCCGGCATTGACCCAGAACCTCGGCGTTGACCCTACCCACGTGCCATGCACGTGACTTTTAATGAATCTCTTCCTTATCTCTCTCCTCTCTCTGTTCAATCTCTCTCCTCTCTATACAAGCAAGCTCCATTGTTGTTGACTAAGGTTTGAAATTAGTGAGACCTTCCAGCAACCTGAATCCCATCCGGTAAACCCTCAAATTTTCGGTCACACCCTTCCTTTCCCCTGACTCCCCCTTTCTTGCCAACTTCTCCCCCTTCCCCTGGGTGTCGCGTCACCGTTCTTTCTTAGCGGCGCACCTTCTAGGTTTTCAATAGGTTGAAGATTAAAGATGCTCCTTGCCAAATTACTGGAATTAAAATGCCAAAATTGTTACAATTGGTGGCGAATTGATGTTTGTAGGCAGCGAAATGGTGAAATTTATGGTGTTGTTGGCGGTGCGGATGTTGCGCTGGCGGTGTGGATGTTGTGTATTGCGGCTGGTGCGATGTGAGTTATTGGTAGGTGTGGCTGGATTGCTGCGGTGTTAGGCAGTTGTTTGGAGTTAAATTATAGGAGATGCGGGTAGCAGGGTTTATGGGTGGCGCTAGATGTGAAAGTGAGACCTCCATGAACAATAATGGAGCTTGTAGAGAGAGGAGAGAGATTGAAAAGTGAGAGGAGAGAAAAGGAAGAGGAGAGAGTTAAGGGAGGGGTTCATTAAAAGTTATGTGCAAGGCATGTGGGTAGGGTCAACGCCGGGGTTCTCGGTTAATGCCGGAAAATAGATTCTTGTGGTGTTTGGCAACTAATTTTTTAAATTGGGAGGTTCCAGACAACAAAAATTTTTTTAGCTGGTTTTTGACAAAAAAGTGCTTTTAACGGGTGGTTTCTGACAAAATTTCCTATAAAAAATGAACATTTAATACTTATAATGCATATATTTCATAATCATATTATTTTTTATTTCTTCAAATTTCTATGTTTATAATTAAATGCATTATATTCATAATAATATTTTATATGTTCATATATAATTTCAAATATTCATAATGTAAATATGCAGTATTGTTCATGAAATATTAATTAAATCTGTTTATTCATATGTTTTCTTTCTTAAATGTTTATGTTCATATTTTTTACGTATATTTTCACCTTTTAAATGCTTATATATTTACTTTAAGAAAACCAATGCTTACGTTCATATTTTGAAATGTTATGTTCACTTTCTGAAATGCATATGTTCACATTTTTTATGCATATATTCACTTTCTGAAAGCTAATGTTCACATTTAAGGGAACCTATGCATATGTTCATATTTTACATTATTATGTTCATTGATAAAAAAAAATGCAGAAAATCAGATAAAATTCAATTCATTAGAATTAAGAAAATCATATACTACCTCCGTTAACATTTAGTTATTGCAACTTTGGAATATTTTATGTCTCTCAAATAATACCCCAAAGTTGCAACTACATGTTAACGGAGGTAGTATAACCTAATCAATCGAAGTTAATCACAAAGTCACCACATAAGAAATCGAAAATCACACATTTGTATGCCTATGTTCACTTTCTGAAAGCTAATGTTCACATTTTTTATGTCTATGTTCACTTTCTGAAAAGCTAATGTTCATATTGTGCTGTTGTTACACCTATTTCTAGGTGCATAAGTGTGCACCTAAGAATATGCCATATCCCCCTCTCATAAAATATTCAGTTCAGTTCAGTTCAATTCAGTTCATCTCTAATCAGTTCAATTCGCTTGTTCTCTTCAGCTTGTTATCAGTTCAGCTCCAATAAGTTCAGTTCGGTTCCAATAAATTCAGTTCAATTCTTATCTTATTTCCTTTTCTCATAAAATATTCAGTTCAATTCTTATCTTATTTCCTTTTCTCATAAAATATTCAGTTCACTTCATTTCAGCTCATTCAATTAGTACAGGCCCTAATCACTCTTTTGTTTCTTCTAATAACTTATTATAACTGAAACAAGTTATGAATATTTTTTGGGATAATTGATTTGCATCTTCAAGAACTTGATAACCGGTTCAATGATAATCATATCGGTTTAATCATATCATTAAGATTCAATACATAATATGTTATAAATATCATTACGATTCAAGAAATTTATCTAACCATTTTTAAAAACCCAAACAAGTTATAAATATTTTTCAAACTTTTCATGATATATCATTACAATTCAATACATAATATTTTTTCATTGCCAAATTTAGTGATAATCATATCGGTTTAATCCTAGCAATTAATTAGTTAAATATTTAGACATAGATTACATCTTCTTCACTGTCGTCGTGGTAGAAATAGTTGAGAAACGCATCACATTGCAAACACTCAACATGCGGACAATGAATGATAAAAACGTCCGGAGGATGAGTTTCACCTGAAAATATATGGAAACACAAAAAAATTAGCAAGACTGTTTATAAGATC